TCCATGACACGACTAGTGAAACACGTGTGCTTAAGCGTTGCCCACTATATTTGTTCTTATATTTCTTATCTCTCGTGTATCGGGTTAAGGTCCAAAAGACATCGTAAGCGGATTGCTGGGTATACTGAAGGTCATGGCTGCGAACCGACAGCAATGGCCATCATGCTGTCACTTCCTCTTGAAAACGCGTGTATGCACAGTTGAACTGTGCTCTCTGGCTGTTGACCATAAAGGTTCGCTTCCTGCTCTCATCCCTGATGATAGGAGCAATCCGTATCCTCCTTTCACATTTTCAATGACCTTGTATGCATTATGAGTTTGGAAGCAATCCGTAGAGTTCGCTTCACGGTATCACCCTGTTCAACGATAATGATGAATATACCATGAACCACGAGACAAAATAGATTGTCAAGTCTAAAATTGAACAGGGATATCAATACAGCAGGGGGTAAGACAAAGGCTATCTGAAAATAGCGTTTAGGCTATCACGGAAACGACAAGAACAGGGATGGCATTTTTATGACACCATTGTGATGAACCATAAAGTGTATCGTAAACTGCACACTCACAAGGACCTACATACAGTTCACCCAGGAGAAACCTGAACCCCGGTGCCGGGAATTGCAAACTAAACGGCAAAGTAATAGCAACAGAACCCACTTGGTCGCCAGCAGACGGTTATCACATCAGAAGCATATTTTCAGGCAACGAATTTGTAGGTAAGATCTCTGGTGTAAAACAAGAAGTATTGCACTCGACAAATAGATAGTGGGTTCTCTCAGCTTCCGGGCAGCAGGCAAAAAGACACGAACCGTCCAACAAATCCCCACAAAGATATGCGTTATGCTAACCCGGATGTCGGCCAATTTACCACAGTCAGGTAGTAGTGACACGGTTTCAAACCCGATGATCCGGAGCATACCAGTGAAATCGAAGTGAACCAATCGAATACGAGTATGCGAATCAAGGATTAGGGCAAGAATAGTTGCAATGAGCTTTCCAAACACGAACACACTCACCAATCCAAATTTTTGTGGAGTATTCAAAATCGTGCTCTTTTACGGCCAATTCGATTGCCTCTTCCAGGACCTGTACAAACCAAGAAAGAACTAAGATGGAGAAAATCGAATTGCGGGCTCATTCCACACACACACATTGGGGATAACTAAGAGCAGGTGTTGTGTGTGTGCGTCCAGTTCTTTATTATTATCCTCGCATTCCTTTCATTCTTCATCGAATAGCAATTTCTTAACTGATTCAGCACCTGCCCAAAAGCAAGCATGATGCCAACGTAAACACACTCAAAATGGAAAGTTAAGCTTGGAGTAAAGGGGGATGCTGATGTTGTGACGAAGCTCAACACCGGAATGTGAGTCTCATGGATACAGCACACACACACACACACCGTGGTGCCTACGGTCTCGAGGGTAAGAGTCGAACATGCCTAATGTCCTATAGGCATCATGGTTGGCACGCTATATGTGACTAGTTTGAACGGGTATTAGGAATGCAGGAGTATATCAGCCAGTCGAAGAGGATTCCATCGGCCCTCGGTGAGAGTATATGTAGAACATGAGAGAATACGCGTTCGATTTGTATTAGAAACACTAATGCTAGAACAGTGGGAT